CCCCCCCAGACAAGCTGGACGAGATCCTGGCGGCCGCCCAGCAGAGCATCAGCGCCGGGGAGGGGCCGGGGGCACCCCTGGGACCCCCCCTGGGCAAGGGGGGGCGCCCCAAAGGCTTCTTCGGCCCCGAGGTGAGTTTGGGGCGAATTCGGGGGAATTTGGGCAAAGTCGGGGAAGTTGGGGGAAAACTGGGGGGGAAATTCAGGGAAATTTGGGCAAATTCAGGGGGAAATTTGGGTAAAAATTGGGGAAAATTTGGGTGAAATTTTGGGGGAGTTTGGGGAAAATGTGGGTGAAATTCAGGTAAAATTCAGGTGAAATTTGGGCAAAGTTTGGGGAAATATGTGTGAAATTTGGGTAAAAATTGGGGAAAATTTGGGTGAAATTTTGGGGAAATTTTGGGAAAATGTGGGTGAAATTCAGGTAAAATTCAGGTGAAATTTGGGGAAATATGTGTGAAATTTGGGGAAATTGGGGCAAAATTTAGGTAAAATTTGAGGGAAATTTGGTTGAAATTCAGGGAAAATTGGGGAAATCTGGGCAAAATTCAGGGAGAATTTGGCAGAAGATGTGTGGAAATTCAGGTGAAATTTGGGGGAAATTTGGGTGAAATTCAGGGAAATTTGGACAGAAATTGGGTAAAATTTGGGGGAATTTGGGAAAAATTTCGGAGAAACTTGGGTGGGAAATTTGGGAGAAATTCGGGGGAAATTCAGGTAAAACTCAGGTGAAATTTGGACAAAATTTGGGGAAATATGTGTGAAATTGGGGGGATATTTGGAAAAAATTTGGGAGAATTTGGGTGAAATTTGCAGAACAGTTGAAAGAAATTTAGTTGAAAATTGGGGGAAATTTGTGGGAAATTTGGGGAAATTGAGGAGAAATTTGGGGGAAATTGGAGCAAAGCTGGGGAATTTGGGCAAAATTCAGGGAAAATTTGGCAGAAAATGTGGGGAAATTCAGGTGAAATTTGGGGAAAATTTGGGTGAAATTGAGGGAAATTTGGGCAGAAATTGGGTAAAATTTGGGGAAAATTGGGGTGAAATTTTGGGGAAATTTGGGTGAAATTTGGAGAAATTTGGGTGAAATTCGGGAGGATTTGGGTGAAATGTGCAGAAAAGTTGAAAGAAATTTGGGTGAAAATTGAGTGAAATTTGGGGAAATTCAGGAGAAATTTGGGGGAAATTGGGGCAAAATTTAGGTAAAATTTTAGAGAATTTTGGGGGGAAATCGGGAGAAATTTGGGGAAAATTTGGGAAAAATTGGTTGAAATTCGAGGAAAATTCAGGTGAAATTTGGGCAAAATTCAGGGAAAATTTGGCAGAAAATTTGGGTGAAATTTGGGGAAAATGTGGGTGAAATTGATGGAAATTTAGGCAGAATTTAGGTTAAAATTGGGGAAAATTGGGGTGAAATTTTGGGGAAATTTGGACAAAATTTGGAGAAATTTGGGTGAAATTCGGGGGAAATTTTGTGAAATTTGGGGAAAATTTGGCCACCGTTTTTGGGGTTCTGCTGTGGCTTTTTTTGGCATTTTTGGGTTTCTGATCTGATTTTTGGGCTCCCCCCCCCCGTTTCTCCCCAGGGTCCCTTCGAGCGCCCCCTGCTGGCCCCGGGGCCGCCGCACGGGCTGGTGCTGCGCCAGAAATCCATCGGTGCGTGCCCCAAAATCCGGGAAAAACACCCCAAAAACTCCTGAGAAACTCCCCAAAAACTCCTCAGAAACTCCCCAAAAAGTCCTGAGAAACTCCCCAAAAACTCCTCAGAAACTCCCCAAAAAGTCCTGAGAAACAGCCCAAAAAAATCCTGAAAAAACTCCCCAAAAAAATCCAGAAAAAACTCCCCAAAAATCCTTAAAAAAAACCCCCCAAAAAACCCTAAAAAAAATCCCCCAAAAAATCCTGAAAAAACTCCCCAAAAAACCCTAAAAAAAATCCCCAAAAAAATCCTGACAAAACTCCCCAAAAATCCTGAAAAAAACCCAAAAAAATCCTGACAAAACTCCCCAAAAATCCTTAAACAAACCCCAAAAAACCCTAAAAAAATTCCCCCAAAAAATCCTGAAAAAAACCCCAAAAAACCCTAAAAAATCCTGAAAAAACCCTAAAAAAATCCCCAAAAAATCCTGAAAAAACCCTAAAAATCTCCCCAAAAATCCTGACAAAACTCCCCAAAAATCCTGATAAATCCCCCAAAGAAATCCCAAAAACCCCAAAAAAATCCCGAAAAACCCCAAAAAAATCCTGAAAAACCCCAAAAAAATCCCAAGAAACCCCAAAAAATCCCGAAAAACCCCAAAAAATCCCGAAAAAAATCCCAAAAAACCCCCCCCAAAATAACCCCCCATCTCTCATCCCCCCTTCTTTCCCTTAACTCCTTTGAATCTCCTTTGAATCTCCTTTGCACCTCCTTTTCCCCTCATTTGCATCTCCTTTGGATCTCATTTGCATGTCCTTTGCATCTCATTGGAATATCATTTGCATCTCATTTCACTCTCATTGGAATCTCATTTGCATTCCTTTGCCCCTCATTTGCATCTCCTTTGAATCTCATTGGAATCTCCTTTGCATCTCCTTTGAATCTCATTGGAATCTCCTTTGCATCTCATTGAAATCTCATTGGAATCTCCTTTGAGTCTCATTTGAATCTCATTTGCATCTCCTTTTCCCCTCATTTGCATCTCATTTGAATCT